TTTCATGTGAGTATTTATAGTGTGATGGTCAAAAAAGGATGTCATTATTTTAAAATATTAAGTACTTAGTAGAAATCTGTCAATCATGAATAATCATTACATCATGTGAGGTTGCAGATATTAGGACTTACTGATGTTAATAATGTTGTGGGCTCAAATCAAGTTATTTTGTGCTCTAGGTTTATGTTAGATTCACTAATGATGGCAAAATTTATTTATACAATCAATTGAACTAAAAGTTAATAGCAAGTTCACACTATGGATCACGATCTAACAAAATAGAAATAGAGCGGGTAGTCAAATTATAGGTTCGTTGGTACGAGAGATAAGAGATAATTAATCTCGGGTTTAAATTTGAGATGAGTTTATTTCGCGTTTGGTAGAGATGAAATCGCGGTATAACTAATACCGAGATTAGTTATCCTGGGATTGTAGGGCTCGTTTGATATGAGGGATAATTAATCTCGGGATTAAATTTGAGATGAGTTTATCCCGTGTTTTGTTGGGATAAAATCATGGTATAACTAATTAGTTATACCATGATTTTATCCCAACCAAACACGGGATAAACTCATCTCAAATTTAATCCCGATATCCCTGTGTTATTTTTATCCATGTGACCCTATGGGATGGTGGGATATAATCCTGGGATAATTAATCCCGGTATAATTAATCCTGAAATAACTTGTTTCTCGGTCAAACAAAATCAGCTCAAGTTAAGAGAAATAAGGAGGGTAAAATATCTGTATCAATTCAATAAATAAATGACACATATTTTTACTCACTTTATTATGACTAAACTATATAAACTCTAGTTCCACTTCAAAAGTTGAAATAGCTTTACTTCATTTGTCTCAATTTTGTCCATAGACTTGAAGTTCAAGTTTTGGACTAAAACAGATCTTGGAAATCTAGTTATTATAAATCGAATATATGAGTTCTAATCTTTTTACATTTCAAATTGTTAAAGGTACCACCAAAGGATGCGATTAAATGATAAATATATTTTTCTCTTAATCAAATTTCTCAAGTTTAAGTCTTGGAAATAAAGTTCTATTGAATAGGAAGGGCTAATGTCCCTTTTATGCTTTCAACGGCGCAACTCCAACTTGCTTAAGTTAACTACCAATAAGTGAAATGCTTTAAGTAAATTGGGGTGTAGAGAGTAATAATAATAATAATAATAATAATAATAATAATAATAATAATAATAATAATAATAATAATAATAATAATAATAATAATAATAATAATAATAATAATACAATCTTTTTTGGCAAATAAAATATAATAGTATATTTATCTTCCCATAAATTAAGTTGGCAGTCCTAAATCCAAATGGGTTCCACAAACCTTGGTCAAGTACTCATTTGATCATCATGTTTATTACTCATATATATATCATACCCCTATACTAAGAACCATGATTGTATAATACCTCCACATCATTATAATCATGTGCATTCTCGTGTTCTATGCATGCCAACAAATAATTGCCATTCAACTAGCACCGCCCCTCCCAAGAAAAAAATATTAACTAGAAGGAAAGTTTGAAAAAATATTATGTAATCAATGAGAAGTTTCTTTGAGCCCAAACTCATTTGATCCGTCCAACCCATTCAAAGTTGGGCTGGTAATTAATCCGTCAATTTGTTGAACGCAACCTATCTTGACCCAGCTCATTTCAATACATCTAAAGTTGAACTGATTTTTAGCCCAAATTTATCCATGAGTAACTTTGCTAAAATATCTTAAAACTAATTCTTTTTTTGGCTTGATATGTTATATGACCATAACAAAATAAAAAAGTCTTATTTGATAATTAAACAATTCATAAGAAAATAATAAACATTAATTAAAGTTTGGTAAGAGTTGGGCGGGTTGCGCTATGATCCAAATTTTAGCCTAACTTGACCCAGCTCAGCCCAATTTATGGACTCATCCCATTTTAACCCGCCCAAAATCTCCACTTGACACCTATACGCACAACCAATGAAGTTATGGTACAATATTTGCAAAGTAATTGGAAAAATAACAGGTAGTGTTCCTCGGGTTTCAGTTTATACGACACTATTTTTAAATAAGTCGTTCGAAAAAAAATAACACATTTTTGTAGAGAAATTTTGATGGCCATACAAACGTTATAACATATTTATGCCGAGTCAAAACTCTGTCTTATTTCTTTAAACTTTATGCCAAGTCAAATTATATCACATAAATTGAACAGATGGAATAATTATTTGTAACAGTATAACAAGCCTTTAAGTAAATCGAAATTATTTTTATAGCCTATGTACCTTTAGGTGTATATATCCAAAGAGTAGCTTACTCATTGTCATACTTTTCCATTTAAAACAAATAGAGATTTTACAAAACAAATTCTAATCCTTTCTTTTTCTTTTCTGATTTTCAAAGATACGGTCAACTAACTTAACTAACAATTGAGCCATGTTAGAATAACATGCACAAGAGATTAACATATACTTTGTCCACATGAAGCACAAATCAAGCAACCTATCAAGAACATGATTAACTTATAATATGGCCACATAAAATGAAATTTGAACATAAATTTTCTATATTTATAATTAAGAATCTTGGGTCTACATTAACTACTAAAATAACTGGAATTAGCGATAGATAAATTTTATAGCTAAACAAAGAAATCCGACAAATTTTCAAGAAATTTTGTTAGCTATTAGAAATTTAGCGACAGACTAGCGACGAAGTTCGTAACTAATTCTCCTTTTTGTGTGATTAAAAATAAGCGACTCCACTAATCATTCATTTAAAGAGCATATTTACTTTGATTTTTGTGTGACATGTGAATGTGATATAGCTCTTATTAGTAAACTTGACCAGATACTATTAATCATACAAAGTTCTTGAAAACCAAGACCCACTCACTCCATAGAATAAACAAGGAGTCCATCTCTAAAATAATCAATTAAAACCCTTTTTATTAAAAAACTAATTAGATATGATAAATTCCAAGATAGCTAAATGCAACTCATGATTGCTAAATACAAGAGCATACATTTCAGTCATCATTTGGAATATAGAGCTTGATGAGCATACAATAATTGAGCTCATTGGCTTAAATCTATTATAATTCTATTTTCTATGGCTTTTAAGAGAGAACAATCCGGATTTTTTTTGTTAATCATGTGGTATTTAGTATTTACTGGTTCAACTAATTTGAACTGAACTAAGACAACTGAAGTATTGCTGTTTCTATTTTTGAAGTGAAGTCAAGAATGCATATGGACAAATCATAACAAGGGCTAAAATATAGAAAATTGCAAGTGAATCGGCAAACTAAGAGCCCGTTTGGCCAAGTTGCCAAAAACTGCTTATTTTGTTTAAAAGTATTTTTGCAAAATAAGTGTTTGGCCAATTCATTTGAGTAATGTTTTTTGCAAGCTCATTGTGTTTGGCCAATCTTTCCAACAAGTACTTTTAAGCATCAAATTACGAAAAAGGATAGTAAAGGTTCAGTTTGCAATTAGTATTATTTAAAAAATAAATAAATATTTATTATAAAAGAAATTCAATTAAAATATAAAATGTAAAGTAAAATATAAATTAAAAATTACAATCAATATAAAATATAGTTATTCCAAAGAAATAACATTGAGTATTTGATATTACTTATTGTTTACATGATAATTTAAATATATCAAAATACATCATTCAATATAAATTTAAAATATATTCTTAGGAATAGGAGCAAGAGAATAAAAATATGATTAAAATAAAAAAGAGAAGAAAGGCATAATAGAAATAATAAGGAAAACGAAAAGGAAAAGAAAAATGTTAAATTAATGAGGACTAATTTGAAAAATATAAATTTATTGTAAAGTTATTTTTGTCTTGAATAAATTAATTTTCTGATTCTGTTTTTGCTTCTTGGAAGAAGCTAAAATTTGTAACTTCTTCCCAAACGCAAAAAATCTGCTTAGCTGCTCAAAAACACTTTTTCATCTTGGCTAAACACTTTAAATTTTCAAAAAGTATGTTTTTGACCAAAAAAATATATTTTTGACCTCCCATAAGTTTGGCCAAAGATGCTCTAAAATGAATTGGCATTCCCAAACTTCAGGCAACCTTCATTTAGGATAAAAAATAGCAGAAAAGGATTTTACCTTTTAGTCAATATAAATGTCAGTCCCAAACTCAGTTTGAGTTTTATTTAACACTCTTCTCATATATATGAACGTATCTCATACTAATTTTAGTCATGTCCCACGAATTCAATGTTCAGAAAATTCATCATATTACGATTACTTTATACGTTGCGTTGCGACTCCTTATTTCTTTTTAGTTTCGGATTAGTTAAGAGGTGATATGACCGTTTTTAACATATTATCCCCTCTATTTAATTTCTATTGTACTGATCCACTTTTAAGCGTACGTCTCAATTTGGAGTACAGAGAATGAAGAAATTCCTAATAGAAAGTGTATTCTCCTTTAATGAACGCTACATAATGCAAATTTAAATTATTTTAATTTAAAAAAATGACGTTGTATAGTCGGTCTTAAAATAAAAATCAAAAAATTATATATTTTTTGTGTATATATATTTATTTATCTATGTTATATAAAAAAATTATACAAATTTTATATATTTTTTCTGCTAACGAATATAAATAATTTTTGGCGCGGACTAAAAGTAAAATTCTAAACCACAAGATAAGATTTAAGCTCACAACATGATTAACATCAGTAAGTACTAACACTTGCAACCTCACTTGAGGTAATCATTATTCATGATTGACAAGATTTCTACTAAGTACTTTATAGTTTAAAATACTGACATCCTTTTCTACCTTCACACTAAATGTATTTGCATGAAATAGCCACCGTTCAGTCAAGGAAAAACATCCTAATCATCAGTATTCAGTACTCTAGTACTAAATCAAGAGAATCTGTATCTGTCTCAATTTCTGGTCAGAAAATCTCTGCTATCTCTATCCGTCGATACAAGGCGCATCCAGAATTTAAACAGTAACTATGAATATCATCAAATCATCCACTTCTTCTTCAACTAACAAAAGCACAAAACCAAGAAAGAATGCTGGCAGCAGTGTAAGTAGTACTCAAAGTGGCAAACAAAATGCAGAGGAGCAACAGAACAATTGCAGATATTTAGGTGTGAGAAGAAGGCCATGGGGTAGATATGCTGCGGAGATAAGAGATCCGAATACGAAAGAAAGGCATTGGCTGGGAACATTTGACACTGCGGAGGAAGCTGCTTTGGCCTATGATAGAGCTGCGCGTTCTATGCGTAGTAACAACAACAAATCTAACAAACCCATTCGCACCAACTTTGTCTATTCCGACATGCCACATGGTTCTTCTGTCACTTGTATGATTTCCCCTGATGAGGAATATCATCACCAATTTGAACTTCATCAACAACAACAACAACAATTCTTTAATCAGGCTGATCAGTATGCAGCTCCTACTGTGAATTACACAGACTTCAGTCACTTCTCAATCAGTAACATGAATAATAATAATAGTAATGGCGATGGTGGTGGTGAAGATTTTGCATTACAACAGTTCTATAACTCCAACTACAATGTGCATATGGAAGACGGTTACAGGTATTGAATTATGTTTCTACTTTTATCTAAAAGTTTAAGTTGCTAGAGAAAATACTTTTAATTACTCTATTTGTCCCAATTTACGTAATATACTCCGAAAAGAATGATATATTTATATATTAGAAACAATTTAATTTTAAACTTCTTGTTTGATCCTTGACAAGATGATTTAGAGCTGCATAAACCACAAGTTTAAAAACCAGTCTCAGTGCATTACATAAAATGGGACGGAGAGAGCACTGTCTTAAAATGTTCGGGCCTGCCTTTTTGGGTCGAATACATGAAAATTCTTTATGATAAAACTTGAACTTAGGACCTGTGTGCCGAATTAATAAGATATTAATTATTTATTAATGTTTTTTGACAACAGGAACAATAGTAATAACACAACATCAATAGAATTGCCACCATTGCCGGAGGATATAACAAGCAGCGGCAACTGCTACTACTTCAGTGAGGAAGTTGATCAAGACACTCAATTTTCAGCTACAACAGCAATATCATCAGTTTCAAATGTGGGATATTATAGCAGCAGAAGTAGTCTTTTGAATGAAATGCTGCCGATGGATTTTCGTGCAAATGATGAACAATTAGACAGTGGTGCCAACATCATAGAAGAAGCAGCATCGTATGAATATCAATTTGGAGGAGGAAATACTGTCACTACAACAAATAATACAACATCTGTGACTGGGAGTTGTAATAATAATAATAACTATTTCGGTTTTGATGATTGGTTGCAGCCACAACAACCACTGCAATATTGCAGCAGTAACATTATGCAAAATGAATCCAACAACAATTTGGGTTGTTGGTTCTCATAAACTCCTCGAGTTGAAGTCTTGAACGGGAGTCTTGGCGTAACTGGTAAAGTTGTTACGAGTTTGAGCCGTGCAAACAATCTCTTGCAGAAATGCAGGGTAAGGTTGCGTACAATAGACCCTGGTGGTCCGGTCCTTCCTCGGACAACGCGCATAGCGAGAGCTTAGTGTAGCGGGCTGCCTTTTTTAATAAGTTGAAGTCTTGAAGATGAAGGCGCTTTACAACTGAACCGCTAATTCTATGACGGATTTGTTCTTTTTTTTTCTTTTGTTTTTAAATGTACCTGTACTTGTATCAACATGTTGGAATTGGAATTGCAGTTTGGTTTGCAAACACTAATTATTTTCTTCACCTGCTTTTTTACCTTTTTAATTTGATGGTTGTCCACTGCTGTGTCAGAATGAAAATTATTTGATATGATTAATTAATTCTGTTTTGTATCTTCTGGTATGGAATAAGGTTTTAGTTGATGACTTGAAGGCCACGCAATGAATTAAGAAAAGTTTTTGTTATTAAAGAAATTTCTCATTGATTGTATAATAATTGTTCTTCTAATATATTATTTCTTTCTTGGGGGTGCTATCGTGTACATAAACCGGGTTGGTTCGGTTTTATCAAAAGCAAACAAAACTAATTATATCGATTTGGATTGATTTGATTTGGTTGATTTTTCGGGTTTTTTTGTTACATGAATAATGTTTCAATCTTACTTTGTTAAATTTTTGTTATAAAAAAATATGTTTAGTAAAATTTAAAAAAATTATAAATATATGATCTATTAACAAATGGTTTTGTGGCCCATTACAAACTTGCTTTTAGTTTTATGACCTATCTCTTTTTTTACACATGAGAGATGTGCTTTTACACATGAGAGATCTATCTTTTACACGTAAGAGATCTAAAAAAGACATTTTCTTAATTTCAACATTGTAAAAAACCATGGAAGCCTAAAACCCTCATATTCTTATGGGAAAATTTTCTTAGTAGCATATGATAGTAATTTTTTTAGTCGTGTGACAATAATTTTTCGTTGATGGTACACTTTCAAGTTTAACTGAATTTAATAATTAAACATAAAAATAAATATGATACCCATATAATGAGATGTTCTATTTAATTTTAAATTATCGAAATATCACTTCAAATTCGAAAAAGATATAAGAATTTAATAGATCTTGACATATGAATATGGAAAAACAAAGAGATTGACGCATTTCACTCACACTTGATAAGAAAGTGATCATACAACCCATATTTAAAGCTAATAAAAATATAGCACTTCATATTTAACTAAATACGTATTACATTCCATAAGAGAATCACAAATATTTCTAGACATTTTTTAAAGAAAAATCTATGAAAAGTATTAAAAGTATATATAAAATTATATATTTATATGTCGGTTTGGTTCGGATGTTTTTACTCAATTCCAAACCTAATCAAATTTTTTAAGTGCGATTTTCCGATTCGGTTGGTACACCCCTAATCTGAATGGCAATTATTTGCATAGATGATAGAACACGAGAATGCACATGATACTAATGATATGGAGGTAAAGTAGAAATCATTTTTATTGGTTGTAGCTATGTGGGTGTGGATCAGTGGCGAAGCTAGGAATTTCTCTAAGGGTGTTTAAATTTAAAAGAAGAAAAAAAAAATTCCGACAAATGGTATTCAATATGTGTTATATACTTGTAAAACGTAATATTTTACATATGTACACAGTGCAATTTTTCGACGAAGTGTGGTTATTTGATCACCCTTATGATCACGTGGCTTCGCCGCTGGCGTGGAGGGAGGACTTTCGTCGCCTGATAGAGGCAGAAGCGGAAGCCACCGTGTGATGGTGGGATGGTAAAGGTAAGAGAGGGTAAATGGGTTTTGTGTTTAATTTTTAGTCACGTGTGAGAAACATGGCGTGTTATAGTAGTACACACGATCATTAGAGATTAATTAATTGGTCTCAAAGCTTCAACCGTTATTCAAAATTTTAAATGCAAACAAAGTGGACTCCATCCCTCCAATAATAGTTGCATTTAAAAGGAGAAAACTTTATTTTATTCAAAATTTTCTCTTTGTTTCTTATGTTTCGTTTCTTCTTTTTAGTCCAAAATAAGATGGTAACGGTTTAAAGAAGTACTATTATTATTCTCTTCTGGATTATAATGAATTTCAAAACAAGCATAATCCCACATGCATAAACCCACATACATAAATGCCCCCATAAGATTGGCCTTTGCTTAATGTCCTTGTAATCGGTGGCATTTAATAAATGAACTCTGCCTCTTTGTCCCTTCAGTCCCTTCAAATTCTTCTTCTCCATATTTTCTTCTTCACCAAGAACACCATAATTCTTCAAATTTTTAAGCTTAAAATTCTTGTTTGAGGTTGAAAATTTAAAGTTGATGGTTAACTAATATTAAAATTGTTTGTGTTAATTATTTAATCTTAAACTTTAGTTTAAATATTGATCTAGAGATTTATTTTAAAAATCTCAAAGCTTCATTATTAGTCCTTAGAAAGTGTTAAAGAAGATAAAGTGATCTTCTTGATTTAGTGTTATTTGACTAAATTAATAATTGGGGATCATTTGTGTTGGTATTTGGATGATTTGGTTCAAATTTGAGATCATTTGGAGCAGTTTGTGATGGTTTGATCGAAATTGAAATTGCAAATAGAGGAACATGTTGAACAACACAGAAAAATCATACTAATGATATAGACTTTACGAACAATTAACAGATTGGTTAATTGCAGATAATACAAAGTTACACCACTCTAATTGAGTTTGGTGAATAATTAAACAAGCACAAAGTCAGGCCAACCGGGTACACTTTGTGAATAATAAATAATATAGGTAGAGTAATAACAACTACTACTACTACAAAATACTCAGTATATTCTCACAGTGTGGGGTTTAGAGAGGATAATGTATACGCAGACCTTATTACCTCTTTGTGAAGGTAGAGAAGTTGTTTCTAATAGATCCTAGGCTTAAGAGAAGCAATTCGCCTTATGTTGAAAAAGAAAAACAACAGTGAAGAAGCCATGTTAAAAATAATGAACGCAAGAACAATGACAACATCAAAATAACAAAGCAATAAGAAAACCGACGCTAAGGAAATAATAGGTAGCAATATACATCGAAGGCTAAGATGATAATAATACTACTTATATGAAAAAACAAGAAATAGATACGGTGTCCCAAACTCGACTACCTACTAAAATTTTTCCCTAATTTTCGATCTCCATATCCTTTTATCTAGGGTATGTCTTCAATAAGCCGAAGATATGCCATTTACTTTCTAATCACTTCTCCCCAATACTTTTTCGACCTACCTTTCCTTAGACCTAAAATAGTAAACTCCACCAACGCGGTAGCGAAAATTCTTGAAGAGTTGCGCGGGTGTGAATGTCATTTTTTAAATACATAAAGGAATGAGGACAATATTGAAAGACCAGCCTCTTACGGGGCCATTCCTGTCAATCACCCAAAAATGGCAATGTTACAAACATTTGACACAAGCCCGATCCTATTTTGACTCGTCAAAACGACAGTAGATAGCCTATGTAAAGTATATGTAAAATACAAGTAATATGTACAAAAGTCAGGATAACCTTTGTAAAATATATTTAGTTTTTTAAAACTATTTAAAGTTTAGCCAATTTTGAGTGATTTTTGGACTGAATTTGTTTGGTAGCCTTTGTACAAAAGACAGGATAACTAATGTTAATGTTTAGTTGTTTTAGATTGGGAATACAAGTAATACATAAATAAGCTATCCAACAAAATCTATATAATATTTCTGCGAGGTAATATATTAGTAATACATGGATTAAATAATCAAATGATCAAAAAACCCTCATATTTATTTTAAATTACACATTGTATAAATAAAATAAAGTAAACATTTAACAAAAAATAATCTCTACATTACAATCCATACATTATTAATTCTTACCCAACTAATCTCTTAATAATTAAATCCTGCATACTCTAACCAGCAACCAAACGACCCATATTCTAATTGCCATGTTCAAGGAAATCTACGGCTGAATATGATGCACAAATCCTACCACGAGTTTCAGCTCTGCTAGAAATTTATGAGCATGACATAGTAGAGTATGGCAAAAACACTGGTGAATCACCAAATAAAGGTACTAGAGAACAGATAATGCGAACAGCTACGTCTCAATTATATAAGTTCTGACCTCCTTGTTGCAATAGTGCTAGTTCCATTTGTTGTCTACCACATGTTTTATTAATATTCAGTTTCACAAAGTAAAGTTTGTTATGTTCGCAAATGAATCAAAACAGCAGTTCAGTAACAGACAGCAAATCAAACTATAACAAAGCCAGTAGAATTCACACGATATACATACAATGACCACAAAGGCTAACAGATACGTTCAAGTTATAAAAAAACATGCAAGTTCAAGGAAATATCGATCACTACAACATAATTTAATAAAAAGAATAGAAAAGTACTTTCAGGGAACCACCACATAGAAATAACATTGTAGTAACAATCCAATTCCAAAAGGGATAAACTCAAATTAGAACCATAACATAATCAAGTCATAGTAGACTCAAAAACACTTGTTCTTAATTAAGACTAGATAGTGAAAATGAAAATAGAGTACTGCATCAAAATTCCCATATGAAGATTCATTTCAATATAAATCGAATGCTATCTCTCTAATCTCCCTTTCTCCTGAAAGAACATCCCTCGGTAAGTCTAGCACGACCACCAGTAGGCTGGCACAAAACTGTCTGGCAGTTTCCGCAAACAACCACCGTCTGAGAATGGCTGAACACAGTTGTTCTGCATGATTTAAACATACGATCAAAATCAGTGAACTCCTAGAATATACTCCCTATGTTCCATTTTATGTGGCGGATCAAGGTGTACGAGATTCAAACTATTAAATTTTAGTGTGAATTCAAATACAAATTCTTACGAGTTTATGGAAATAAAATTAACATATAAGAAACTAAAAT